CTTCCTGCAAAAATCGCGTCTCTGCTGAGCAGTTGCGAAGATGTAATGGATGCCCTGCAACACACTCGAGGCAGGTTGTTGGCTGGAGAACTGACGGTGACATGTATGGAAGGAGATGTTATGGGATGTGGAGAAGGTGAAACGAAGAAGGGAAGAGAAGAAGCTGACAGACCAATCGGAGTGTGTTCGGGAAATGGGGCCACTCTTGGGAAGGATGCGCCTGCGCCACACGTCTTGTTGGCGTGCAATGATGTTGCCGCACTGAAATCTCACCACGCGCTTCACAACTTCCCCTGCGTGCTTGCCAGCAAAGCACCTTCGGCCGGACCAGAATCTTATGTACTGCCTATGACGACGCAAATTTTTGAAAATTTCGTTGTTGACGCAAACTCTCGACAAATGGCCAGGCTGATCGCGGACTGTTTTTCCCATATAATTTCATATATCAAAGAGATAATGGGACCGGTGTTACTAAATGCGGACCATCATGGAGCGGGAAAAAAATATGAATATTGCAGGAAAGGACTTGACATCCATGAGCGCTTGAAAACTCAGTATAGAAGATGTCAAATTGTGGCAGCGCGGGTCGTCAGGGAAGCGTGATCTCTCTCTCTCTCTCTCTCTCTCTCTCTCTCTCTCTCTCTCTCTTTCTCTCTCTCTCTCCCCCTCTCTCTCTCCCCCTCTCTCTTTCTATCTGTGTGTATCTATGTCTGGTTTTCACATACTAGAGGTTGGCTAGTGGGCCGCAACACTGAATGGCCCTCTGTCAACGCATGTCTACCTGTCCGACAGCACGAAGTTGTCCCCCTTGCAAGCCAATTCTGGTCTCGCATGTCACGTTCGGCGTCGTGTTGCATCGCTGACTGGTGAACGTGTCGATTGTGCAATGTTGTTTTCCAAGCTGCAAGAGGTTGACTACTGCGTGCCATGACTGTGTGTACCATTGGTGGTTGTTGTCCCATTGGCCCGCAGTAGCCAACCTGTCTGTCTGTCCAGTGTATGTATGCCTGTCTGCGCGAGGCTGACTACAATGGGCCATGTAAGTGTACACCGCTGCTGGTTGTTGTCGTTCTGGCCCGCAGTAGTCAACCTGTCGCTGGTGCCACATGTTTTTCTGTTTTTCCAGCTGGGTGAGGTTGACTGCTGCGTGCCATGTCAGTGTGTACCGATGCTGGTTGTTGTCCCGATGGCCCGCAGTAGCCAACCGCCCTCTAACGCAGTGTATCTCTTCCTGTATGGGCGAGGTTGACTACTGCGGGCCATGTAAGTGTACACCGCTGCTAGTTGTTCTCGTTCTGGCCCGCAGTAGTCAATCTGTCGCCGGTGCCATATTTTTTTCTGTTTTCCCTGGTGGGTGAGGTTGACTACTGCGTGCCATGTCAGTCTGTACCGATGCTGGTTGTTGTCCCAATGGCCCGCAGTAGCCAACTGCATCCGGAACGCAGTGTATGTTTGCCTGTATGGGCGAGGTTGAC